CATGCATATTAACATTTTAGGAATTCTTTCGTTACTAAGCCCAGCGATTTTACATGCCCATTTTATTCATCTCAACTTAATCATCTCAATTATATTAACCGGATATAGTTCACGCAATTCAGCGTTGTGTAACCGCCTAAATTCTCTGGTTGACTCCCTTGACGCCCTTTTTCGTTCTGCGCAATACTGTATTTTCAAAAACCTTAAGACATTGCTCTTTATATTTATATGTAAATACCAAACAGTCATAATAAATGTAAATGATTAAAATTGTTTAATCGCATTAATTATAAATAAGTGACAATTAATAATCTTAAATAATAATAAGAATTTTTCCTTTTTGAAGTAAAAAATTTTGTTTTGCGATCATTGTAACTACATATGATATATAAAAGAGTTTATTTCATTTTCATGCACTTAATGGTATTGTATCGATAATTAAAGTCGAAATTCACAAAAAAATATTTGAGACGTAAACTATATCAAAAATGCACTTGATGACTTTTAGTAATAAACCGACGATATTTAAAATAAATCTAATGAACATTATATCTAAATATCGATTTATTTATTTCATAATTTAATAAAATTGTATTTATTTTAACATAACATATCCTGAAATTTAGGTTCTTATACTATAGAAAGGTGTCTATATGAAAAAGAAAGTTATTTATCCTCCAGCCCTATCACTCTCGCACTCTATTTTATTCTATAAATAATTGTAGATAGAATATCGACATTTGAGTAACCTCGAATTCAGAACTGTATATAAAGTCAGAGGCAAATGACTATCTTTATTTTTTTAATAACTCAACGAGATCGTTAAGTTTAAAAATTATTAAATATTTATACGATATATGAAACTTCTGCAATATTTCTATAAATTTGCATTTTCTCGGAGTTTATTTAACGAAAAATAAAATACTAATTAAAACAAATAATGTACAATATAGTATATATATGGAACAATGTTTGTTTCCAACGATTCAAAAATTTCGAATAGTCTTTAGCGTCGTTTTATCCCAGATTAACTTCATATTTATTTATTAATTTCGTACGAATTAACTATTAAATATTAATTAAAAAATGATAAAAACAAACACTGGTCGTACTTTACCATACGATTGAAAATCTTATTATTTGCAGCTTTTTTTTCTCATTAATAAGTAATTTTACATTTGTAAAGGAAACCAATACGTTAGATAAAAGCGATCCAAATCAAATGGATACAGCTAAAATTTCTACATAGATAAAGACAAGACAAATTGTCAAATACTAAAATTTTTAAAATACGAGAGTGTCACGTCGAAATGGATTATTGCGCAATTTAAATGTGTCAATAAACCATGAGTGCTCATTAATACTTTGAGAACATATTTTCGCTCATCCCAGATAGAAGTGGAGCCAAAAATTCTATACAATTCATTAACGACAATTTCGTTCAACAGATCTTTCTCATATCTCAACTACTACAGAATTAAAATTAAATTGTTAGGAATTTTGATACTCCGTTATGCAGATGTCGGAAGCTAATTGGAAGGTCATAAGTCACACACACAATGGGTTAACCAATTTAACCATTTTTTGTTAGGTGATTTTATAAACAAAATATCAGACATGTGCTTAGGTATTTCTTTAAATGGAACCTAATAAGCGAAAAAAAAATTAATTTTAAAAATGACGATTTATTAAAAAATAATTGTATACACCTTTCACTCTCAATCAAAAAGATGTTTAAATGCCTTTTTTTTTCTTTTTGCGTATAATAAGAAAAATCTGGAGCAGTAGGCACATCTCGCAACTTTGACTTAACATCCTTCTTAAATAATTAAATTCATATCTAAACACTCAAAAACGAGATTTAGCGGATTTACTCAAATCGGACAGGTCGTTTTTTAAATATACCATACTAAGGATAAAACATATGTGCATGTGTATCCCTAAACGTAATTACGACGAGGCCAGGTACATATATATATATATATATATATATATATATATATATATATATATATATATATATATATATATATATTTATCCTCCATTTTATTTGTCATCTATAACAATATAAGTATATGCAGTATATTCATATATATCTTGTTGCTTTATCCTTACACTGCCCTATGGCATTTTAAGAAAACGATGCATTCATGGTGTAATTTAGATTCAAATAGGTCAAATTTAGAGGTTTTATTCAAAGGAAAGATAAACACCTTCAAATTTCACAAAAGTTATATAACAACCAATAAAGTTATAAGCCATGGCAAAAATTAATGTAACTCAAGACGCTCAAACTCAATTTTTTTTAGTTCCATTCGACTGAGAGACAAACAATTTTTATTTGTCTATGGTGAATCACCATTGGATCCAGGATTTAATTTTTGGGGAAAAGAAGCTTAAGCACGAAAACTTTTATATATATATATATATAACGATAATTACTAAGGAAAAATTATAAACTTTTTTGCTTATACATTTTCAATATTTTGATCGTAATTTTTCAAAAAATCATGAAAATATTACATAGCTTTAAGGGAACTCAACTGGTCATATTGAAAAAAAAATGGTGGCACCAAAAGGTAATTAAGCTACATCAAATGGCATAGACTACAGTAAGTCAATCTGAAATGCATTGAGATATAAGACAATGTACTTAAAAATTAAAACTAGTATAATATTATTTTTAATAATTACAATGAGGATAGAGATTTGAAATGTTCTTCTATGAACATGAGATTCTATTTGAGGGAATAGAAAGGTATGAAACTCTCAAACATCAGAAAATAGGATAGACTAAACCAGCCAAATTAGGGACATAGATATAATATAATATTGTCCCGATCGCTTACAGCCAAAATATAACTGCCATAATAGGTAATGTACGCTTGGAATAACTGTCAGCAGTGCCATCGTAGCATCAAACCTTCTGGTTCACAAAGCCTTGTTATTATTAGTAGTCATAAATAATGATAAAATGGATTTTTTATTATTTCTCAAAATCTGTAAATTATCGTAAGATTTAGATGTATCTAAAAGAAAATCCTAAGAAAGGTTCAATTTTTTTTTTGGTTTTCAAACAACTCTTGAAATATTTACGAACAAAGAATATTTAAATATAGTTATTCAATTTTCAAAATAACTGGTATTAAGGTGTTTCAAAGAAATTGGACATGAAGCCCAAATTAGAAAGGTGGAATGAAAACAGTTTTTGCTGACAAAGCTTCAAAATTTATTCCTGGTAACATGATATAAGTAAATAAAAACATGTATTGTTGAAATTTGTATGATTTCAATAAATAAGAAATCCATGGTTAGATTTATAAATTAAAAATTTGCTTAGTTTTTAAGGTCAAGTTAGGAAATTCCATTAGGATTACAGTCAATTTGCATGTTGGGGTACTTTGAACTACTAATGGATGTTGATCAGCAAAGGTTAAAATAGTTTCATTATTTTTTCGGTGAAAAAATAAATTTGATGTTAAAAAACCTTATATTGAAGGGAGGTTTTTTGGTTTTTTTTTTTTAATAAATTCAAAGAAAAGCTATCATGAAATAAGAAATAATGATGTAAGAGATGTCAATGACTAAAATATATAATAATTTTAATGTTCTTAGTTTTAAATTTAATTTATGTTTAAAAAAAAACATTATTTTGTTTTCAAAATTCTAATTTGTGGGAGTATAGTGGATTTTATAAAACCATAATAAATTATTGATTAAATTCAATAATATGTAAAATTAAAATTTACTGCTTGTTAGAAGAGAGGAACACAAGACTCTTAATGTCTTTTAATAAGCTCCCTGGATGGAGAGGACAAAATATCAAAAGTAAATTTATGAAAATCCAGGGAAGGGGCTTAAAAAATACATACCGAAACCGTATCTGATAAAAACAACACAGAGCCATTAAAGAATAATGAGAATGACAATATTGAAGAGAAGTTAGGGTCTTCAGTCAAAAAGTAAGAAAGTAAAATTGACATAAGTAAAAGAAAGTAAAAAAATTATATTTACTTTTGTTGATGTTTATACCCAATGTTCAGGCCTTTATCAGCAAAAATAAAAATAAATATAATTTTTTCATGTTCACTTTGTTAATTTTTGACCAAACACTTCAACCAACTTCTCTTCAATATATCCACGACTGTCAATTGTTAATCCACTATCGAGAATGATAGTAGATAATTATCAACTGTAGAAGATAAATTGAAGAGAAGTTGGTTGGGGTTTTTACTCAATGATAATACAAAGTAAAAATAAATATAATTTGTTAGTTTTTACTTTGTATTTTCATTGACTAGTTATATTGTATTTCTTTAACTTTGTATTTTATACTGACAAACAAATATAATTTATTTATTTTTACTTTGTATTTTCAATGCCTGAAGACCCCAAACAACTTCTCTTCAATAATGAGAACGAACATAACAGCGCCAGTCATAGGGTGTCCTCCATTTGTTGGCAATTATAAAAAAAATTATGTAGCGTTTATGAGATTAATTAATTTTGGTCTATTAACAAAGCAATGAACAAGAGACTTACATATTTATGTTTTAAATAATGAAAGATTATTTACAATTACTTATATCTCCGATTTAAAGAAGCTGTATGAAAATTTAGTAACAATGATTGAGTATTTAATGGATTAAGCAAAAAATATTGCAAGTCATGTGTAAGATAATAAATTAAGAACTAAGCAAATGAAACACAAATTGTACTCTCAATTGTATAAATGCATGTTGTAAATGTAAGATGTCTTTAAATTACAACGCACAATGCATTGCAAACCTCTGGATCAATTTGAATTGATATAGAAAAATGTTATTCTTGTTCTTAATTCAATTAAAATAAACTAAATTTTGTATAGTTTAATATTATTCAGCACGAATCGATTTATTTCAAATGGTTGTCATATGAACCGATAAATAGCCTATTGTAATAAGAAGACATTTAGTAAATCAGTAAAGCAAGATATGCAAAATAAAATAGCATTACTTACTCAATTATAGGAGTAGTGAGATCAACTGTAGCAGAAGGAAAACTATCATCGGGTTTCACCTCTGTATTGATTAATATTGGAATTTCCTCAATACTACCATGAATTTCATGAACCACAGTGTTAACCTTCAAATCACAACATTATTATTACTAATGTATTCATACTCCCTTTTCAATTTCTAGAGTATAAGTGCTTACCTTCCCATGGATCACATCAACTAAAGGAGGAACTATTGGTGGACTAACTATTTCTTCTGGTACAGTTTCGTTTTTCACTACATTAATAGAACTATTAGTTTGAAGAATTCTTCCTTCAAGATTGCTTAATTCAGCCGTTGCCAATGTAAAAATTATGCAGCTGTAATTAAATAAATGTAATTTAAGAAATATGAAAAAAAATGAAAAACAATATATCACTAAAATAAAAGGGCACCTTGAACATATTAATGCTACCAATAATGACCAGCGAGTAACAAATAAAATTAATTTCATAATTTTCCCGCTTCATATACTTTGAAAACTTATAACTTAATAAATGAACGACTCAGACATACGTCTGATAAGCATTTAATTTTCATACTAAAGTGTGAACCTGCACTGATAAAACCTACCTTGACACTTGAAGCTTACCTAAAGTCATAATAGAGAGCTCTTGGTGTCACATCAGTTGGAGGGTAATCATATTTTGAAAGGAAGTGGCTCTAGAATTAAGAGTAAAAGGGTCAAACAACAATAATTAAGCATGACATTTTAAAAATGCTTTTTATATTTTTCACAAATATATAATGCATCCCATCAAAATAAATATGTGAGCATTATCTTATTTTAATTACTTGTGACATCTATTTGTTATTACATATCATGATTTCTGTAAGTATCTTATAGTTATGTTCCAGTGTCTAAAATGATTCTTGTATAATTTCGAACTTTACAGAGACAGTGTATTATTTCAGAACAGTAGTGACTCCAATCACCCTGAAATATCTATTTTCTTTAATAACCCCAAAGAAAATTCATCAGGTTCTGTACCTCATAAGAGGCTGCAGTCTCCTACCAAAAGCAACTGCAGTTCAGCATCAACATGCAGAATATGCCATGAAGGTATATAGAAGAAAGATATTTAATAGTGTTAAGAAAAGTTGAACAAAGGTATGAGGAGTGATGCCAAAATTAATATTTTGAGAGGCTAAAAGAAAATCTCTCCTTCTGATATTATAATTCTTGAATTTATTACTTCCATTGCAGGAGATTGTGTAGAATGTCTTATTTCACCATGTGAATGCACTGGAACTGTAGGTCTTGTCCATAAAAGGTGTTTGGAAACATGGTTATCAACATCTAATTCTGAACAGTGTGAAATATGTAAATTCAATTTTAAAATTCATAGAGAAAAGCGGACATTAAAAGAGGTAGGTAAAGGCCATTATTTTTGACAAAATATAATCTTTCTGAGATTAAAAAAAAAACTATTCCTACAAATGTGTAATGATTTATTAATTATTAATCTCTATTAAATTCATCATTTCATTATATTTGATAAAAATTATTTCGGGTTAATGTAAATTAAAAATTTATGCCATTAAATTATTTAATTTGTATGAGAATCTGAGAATTCATGTTTCATATTCATCTCAATATTTACAAAAGTTAATCCCTTCAGGTCTAGATAATGCAAAGAGTGAGGTAGATTATACTCATTTCAAAAGCAATGGTTAATAGTTTTTTTTTTACTAGTTTATTATAGCAAAAATTATTAATTCATAAAATTAATTTAATTTTGTTTGTGCTAATCTATTTTTGTTTATTACTCAAACTAAATAAATATTTAGAATTTAGAAAAGAAAAATTATTACACATTAGTACAATATATAATTGTTTTAATTAATTTGAAAATTCACTGTTATTAAAATAAATTCCTATTTGTAGTGGTTGCAGTCAGGAGAAGGCCTTACAGGCCCAAATGGATTCTATGGAGATGTCTTGTGCATTTTATTACTAACCCCCCTTTGCCTTGTTTCTATTTATTTGTGTGCAGCTGGAGCTTTTGCATACTTTGGTAGAGGCCTGTGGGAAGGTGTCGGACTTGCAGTAATAAGTGTCACTATTTTAATGGCATATGTTTTATGGGTATATATGACTATAAGGTGAGTTGAAATATGAAGTTTAGTTGAATGTTCTTTGACTCTATTTTTTAATGATTTAAAACAAAATAATACGACAAAGATGAAATAAAAAATACTGTGCTATTAAAGGTTCCAGGGAGCAGGGTAGGTCAGTGGTAAGGCATTTAGCTTCCAATGCTGAAGGTCCCAGGTTCCAATCCCGGCTCATGGCAGAAAAATTATTTATTCTGTTTCAATAACTGTGGGGCGACCCTTGGGAAAGGAGACCCTCCTGGGGCATACCCAGTCTCTACAAAGTGGGTATCCTTAATTAAATAATTAATTAAGGGGGAAAACCTTAATTCCCCATTAAATAATTAATTAAGGGGGAAAACCTTAATTCCCCATTAATTAAGGTTAAATTTAAATTAATCATTTAATTAAGGGAGAAAACCTGGTGGTTGAGCGTGATCCAGTCCCGGTCCCCTCCTCGCACAACCGTTGGCCTTGAAACTGTTCTTTCTCTAAATAGTACTGAACCCAAGAACCTTCATGGGTTGTAGTGGTACAGGTTAAAGGTTTTCAGAAGTTTATATTGATAACGTTCTTAACATTTAAAAATCTTGTTTCAATCATGACTTTTCAAAGAGTAAATGTAAATTACTCTGTTTAAACATTTTTTGTTTATGATCTTTATAAACTTTACGTTTTGCTATTTATTTTATTAATTCATTTTGGTGGGGATGCAGTGTGTCTTGAATCCTTAAGGTATATTTATTATGGTTCAGAATATGAATATCCTTTAAAATAATTTGTTTAACCTTTATAAAAAAGTTTTCATAATAAATCAGTTATGGATACAATGCATATCGTTGGTTTATTGTAAAAATTCACCAAGTAAATTTTTGATAGATCTGAACTTATAAGAACATTTTTGTGAGTCTCAAAGTGAATGAAATTTATTGATAAAAATACACAGTAAGTGCACAAAAATGACCAAACCCTTTTATTAATAAAATATAGTTATATCAAGTGCACAATTTTCTGTTTTCATAAAGTTCTGAGTGATTGAGGTTTATGAAATGCCACTTAATAACTTTTTTCAATAAGCCAACAATGTATTGAGTAATTATGATGTTACAAAATATTGATATGAAATATTTTTTATTATTTTATTGTACAGATTTCACTTGAGATGCCTAAGAGCATGGCGCAATTCAAATCCTGTTATACAATTGGCTACCACAAATCAAAGAACTAATCCATAAGGATTTTTTATGATCTTGGAAAAGTAAAATGAATCAATATTCCAGATTCAGCTCTCATTGGTAAACTTGAAGATATGTAATGAAATATGATTGTTTTAAGAAAATGAACATTTAAAATAATGAAGATTTATTGTAACATGAGATTGCATGATTATTCTGATTTATTTAATCTATTCAATATTTCTGTGTTTCACAATTTAATAAATTTCAAATTTTATACTATATATATATTTAGAAATGTATTTTTGTATATTTAAAGCTTCTTATTTTTGTAATATTAATATTCTTTTTAGGAAATTATTATTTTAAAGTTAATGTTAATTTTAAAAATCTTATATTTTGTAAAATTGATACTTTAATAAAGTAATTAAATATTCTTATTTCTTAGTAATCTATGTGTTTTCATTATTTTCAATTTCAATTTTTAACAATGAATGTGTTGGGACTGTATTCTTTGTTCCAGCCATGATCGTCCAATAACTTTGTTGAAGCTATTTTATTATCTTTTTTACAGTTTCTGTCAGTTTTGGATTATGTAAGATTATTCCAGTATCAGCCAACTGGCACCCGTGACAACTACATCATAACCGCCTTCTCTTCTCCCCTCACACTTAAAAAAAAGTAATTTAGGAGGAGAAAATGAGAAAAATATGGGGACAATGTGTTTATTTAGTGAATCAATCATATAAAACATTTTTACTTTCACTTACCTATATATGAAATATATAGTAAGGGTAAGTATTGCGATCGTGAAAATTTTCAAATCTGAGTTTTTCACAGAAATGCATGTTTTGAGGTCTCCTGAGCCCAAAAAACCAAGTCCCACAAAATGGTGTGACACACAGTCTAGCTGAAAAACGAAAAGTCGTAAGAAACTGATATTACATATTTAAGACAGGTATATTCCTTAGATGTGACAGCAACTTTTCTCTTGAAATCGGCAAACCAGAAGTATTTTCCCTTTGTGATATTCCATCAGTATCCACTTCCAATTAGTGTGACAACTTTTGACCTGTTTATGACAGACAATGCAAATCTCTTAATTCCATTTTAGTAAACTTTGCAATGGAAAATAACAGTTTAATAACTAATAGTCTTACAATCCATAATCAACGGATTGTACAACCCATAATAAAACAGTGATATAATAAATAGGACTTTTGTTATTCTAATGGTATTTATGATTTGTTAGCTGTAAGCTTTTAGATTTGGCTCGTTAAAAATGGTATAATAGCCCAACATGGACAGAAAATAATTTCTATTCAAAGTTGAGTGGTAAGTGAAAGTTGCGTGTTGCGCGCACCAAATTATTTTTTTAAATATACAGTTTAACAATTTTTTTTTTCTCGATATTTGACGTTTACGAAATTTTTTATTTGGGAAAAATTTTAACTTCTTTTAAATTGACTTGCTAAACTGGTTTTAAATTGATTATGTGGCTAAAGCTTCAAATTTTGCTGGGACATTGTTAATCGAAGATAAGTCTTGGTTAACCTCATCGTTGAAGATCATCGGTCCGCTGTGCTTACTGACACTGCCATTGATAGCAATATTTTTATTCCTACCCATAAAACATCTATTAAATTGATTTTTTTTATATAATATAAAATTTCAATATGAGAAGGATTTTCTTGAATTAACATATCATGTGTTTCTTCACATGATTCTATGCCATTGATATCAATCTCTGGATTTTGGACCAGAACGAGTTACAAATTCTTGCATCATTCTAATAGTGATTCTAAGTTTTCAGATGTATGAATAACGAATTTGAGGTATAAAACAGTCATTAGAATTGCAAAATAAACTTATTGGTTTCGGAATAAGATACAAACCTGTAATCTTCTATGTTTCTCCTTTAACTATCTAATAAAAGATGTTAAGATAAGAACAAAGTGTGTCTTTGTAACTTTTTTCTTCTCGCCAAGGATCTAACATCTAAACCTCTTGTTTATGATACAAACTCTATGTCATTTCATAAATCAATGGCTGGTAACTATTTATTTAAACATTTTACTGGCTACAATTTAAAATTAACTTCTCATGTAGTAGTATATTATTGTATATTTGAAATGTCTTCCATTTAATATCGCTCTGATTCAGTTGCTTTAATAGTAGATATTGCAATTTTTTTTATTACTAACAAGTAGTGGGCGCCTCTCATGATAGGTGCCTGACTCAGACTTCTCTCCAGATCATTGCCCATTTGCCCATCATTGGCAATTGCCCATATTGTCTGGC